CACTAGTGACCGGCCTAGACACTAGGTTACAGAGCACGTCTGTGGCGGGGCCCAGCTCTGCACCTAGTATCACAGCAAATCTCCGTCTCCTCCCTTCATCCTCTAGTCTTGGTGGGAAGACATGAGGCATCCGAGGAAAGAGAAAATGAACGGAAAAAACCAGAGAACAAAACAAACAAGAGAATGAAAAGAGCGGAAGCAAATGTTGTTCTGGGGGCCATTCAATCAGCAACCACACGCTTGCAAAGAGGGCTTTTCGGTTACTCAACTTGTAAAAGTACATCACTTAAACTACTACGAAATTTGTCAAATGGGTTTTGCATAATTTATGAAGATGTTAAAAAAAAAAAAGCCAACTTCATCACAAAAGGGCTTTGCTCCTAAGGGAAGCATTGGTTAACTGAAGGGTCAGAGCATGTTACTTCTTTTCCATGGAGAAAACATAAATCCCTTGTCTGAAGACAGGCCACAGATCTGAGCTTCAGCCACCGAACCCACTTCCCATATCCTCACACGAAAAGTTCAAGTGAACAGACAGACACCAGCTGATCAAAGATATCTGAGTGCCCGCTATGTGCTTGGTACCGAAGCTGGAGGGAACAAGGGAAAAAACAAAGCCTCTGCCCTCGAGGAACATACAAAATAGAGAATAAAAAGAAACTAATCACCTGCCACTGACTACACCGTTAAGGAGGAGTCGGAGGAAAGGGAGAGAAACACGAAGGGCTTCTGAGCAGCATCAGGGAAGCGGGTGGGCCAGTAGGAGTAAGATTAGACAGCTGGGGAGGGTGAGCATCTAACGCGGGGAAGGAAGTGTCAAAAGAAAGGATGGGGGGCAGGAAAAGACACCGAGCGGCAAACAGGGACAGCACAGAATAGCGGTAAACATTCATGCTGAGAAGTTTGCATAATTATGAAATAAGCTTAAACAGAGAGGGGAGGACATGGAGGGCCCTGAAGAAAAAGCAAAGCAGTTCAGAACGGAGGCGAATGATAACAGAGTCACCTCAACAGAGGGCTGACAAGGGGAAACAGGGCCTGGCAGGAGAACACAGTACAGACCAAAGGGAGGCATGTATAAGTAAGAAAATAACAGCTCTGGTCATGCGCTCCAAAGGCTGGACGGAAGGCGGTGCTCAGGAGAGAAAGGGACAGAGATGTGACTTGAGGGCACAATCTAAAAGGTGCACCTGCTAGGGATACAGATGGCCAAGGGGGTGTGGGAGCACGATGACAGGATGGAGAGAACAGGGAGAGTGTGCGGGTGCGGAGAGGAGAGAGCGACGTGACCAAATCCGTTGGATGACAGGAAGCCCACTAGAAACGGGGCTGGACAAGGCAGCGACTCGTGGCACGTCACAGAGAGCAGTGGGGCCTCTCCCGTCACGCGCTCCAACTAGTCCCAATGGCAGCTGTCCCCAGGCGAGAAAAGGATCAGAGACAGGTCCTCGCCTCCCCCGCCACTGTGACCACAGAGGCCTCGGCCCGTGCCCCGACCCCCCGCCTCTGCACTTTACTCTGCTCCATGGACTCTCTCTCCTTCGTCCTCCCTCTGTATCCTTTATGAAAGGGCCATGAACACCAGGAGGGAGAAAGCTGAAAGTTTTAAAATTTGTATTTTACCTCAGAAATTTCAAAATGAAACACTCAGACCCAAGCGCCTCGGAACCACGCCTCCCACCTTAAGTCCCTTCTCTGCGGGCACCTCACTCGGCCCGGGTGAGACCACAGATCCTTGAAGGCACAAATCCACTGGAATGTTCTTCACTGATCAAGTTCTCCTCCCACAAGTCAGGCAGAGCAGCCCCAGGAAATGTTTCTGGTCGAGCCTGGAAAGGTCACAGACATCTCCAAGGACAAGAACCCTCATAACACATTCCAGGATACACATTACGATAAAAAGAACACCAAACTCTCTACCTCAGCTAACTATGGAAGCTTTAACTTCTCTGAAGCTCAGATGCCTCACCCTCAAAGAGGGCTGAGCTGGGGGACTTCTCGACTCACTGAAGCGCCAACAATTGTTTCTGGGCTCACATCTAACAACAGAATGTCCCTCAGATGCCACAAATGCCTCCTGAAACACCTTCACTTCAATTCTTTTTGTTTACCATTAACATTTACATGATTTCTTAATTCTACCAGTATACTGACCCCAAAACAAATCATCAGTTGTCATTAAATCCATCAAAATCAATTAACATACTTGATACCCACTGTATACCTACTGACATAGGCACTTCCTACCTCAGCATATCCTGACAATGCTAAATTACAACAAAACTCTTGGTTAAAACAAAGGCCTTAAGTGAACGGAACAGCATCTCCTCCAGCAGTCATCACAGGACCCTGTAAATTAGGACCTGGATCCACCTGTCAATACCACAAGCTGATCACCTGACGAACACTTCTGCCACTGTCACATGCTGTGATGACTGAAGCACAATCACTTTTTGAGGTTCTCAAAAATATTTCTGTTGAAGCTATAGTTCCATTCTTGCATTAACTATATACCTCTTTGCTCATCCTGAATGAAATGAAAAGAACATTTTTAGAGTAACTCTTTTATACCACTGTTTTTCATCAACAAGAGACAAGGAAAATACTGAGGATTTTACGTTGTGCAATTACAATCAGAAAAGCGGCCAGTGACACCACAAAAATCACTACAGGCTTAACGAACATTCGAGTCTGTATCTAATTCTGGAAGGAAAAAGGTAACATATTCCATTTTCAGATTAAAAAATAATTTCTAACAACTCAAAAAAAATTTACTACTGCTTAAAACAAAAACAAGTGAAAAATCAGTTAATTTTAAAAGATTGAGGGGTGGCTGAGAACTTCAATTTCTTCTGTAAATCCATGCATAAAAGTGGCAAAGGCAAACTGTACCATTCTGAAAACTGTAAAGAGAGGAAAGTAAGGAAGCTGAACATTGGACAATCCAAATAGCTCTTTATTAAAGCTAGTGTCTGCATAAGAGATTAGTCTTTGCCTCAAATGATCAGGGTTGCATCAAGATTTTAAAACCGTCCTTAGCGTTCTGGAAAACATAAGACACCAGTCTCATGCCTGCCCACTCCACCCCCGGGCACCTCCCGGGCTCACTGCCCTCCACGGCCCCACACCAATCCCCCAGCACCACCAGACCCTGCCAACCGAAAAGGGATAGGTGACGAAGCCCCACAAGGAATCCACAGGCCGGCCAGCAACCGACTTCCTGGGCCCAGGGGGAAGGACCAGATCTAGTCTCTCTAGAATCTGAACTAGGAAATGTGACAAGAACCGGTCACTTAGAAACTGAAAGAAGGCAACAAGAAATGCCACAAAGGCAAACTGGAGCCAGAGGGGTTATGACCAGCTGAAAAAGCACAGGAGCTGAAGGCGCAGGGGAGGGAAAGGCAGGAGAGAGCAAAGCAGCCTGTTGGTGGGGTGGGGGGAGAGGCAGATGGAGGAGGCAGAGCCCGGGGC